TAAATGAGGTGGCTCTTTTCAGACACCAGCAGTGTGCTACGTAGTTCCTTATGGAGCACATTGACATGCTCATTAAAATCACTATGCTTTTGACATTAGTTGGAAAGTTAAAATTTGAAACTATCATTGACTTTTTTTTTGTAGCTTTTATAAGTCGAGTTAAATAAGTTTCCGCCCCCATAGATGCCTATCGTAATTGTATCAGTGTTCCTTGGAATTGATTAAGAGCATTAAACTTGGATGCAATGGGTCAATTTTTTAAGCTTGAAAGCGTTGTAGATGTTGTAAGTCAAGTGTCATGCTTGCTACCATGTTAATCATATGAACATATAATGGTAAAACAATTTTTTTGATATAAAACTCATGGCTTAGAACTTCAAAATTTTTTAAGACTATTATGGTGCTGATGACTAGACACGGAAAATTGGTCATTTGGGTCTGTTAGATTTAATCGGGTTTGTTCACATATAACCGAATGGGTAATGAGTATGGTGTCGTTTAGTCACTTTAGTGTGTTTTACATATTTAATTAATTAAAAAAATAGTTGGGTAGTTTTTAAAAGCAGTTAGGGATAGTTTCTAATAATAATAGGTGTGTTGGTCTATAATAGGTATGTTGGTTTGTAAAAGTTGTGTCAGTTTGTTCTCTATTTATATTCAAGAACACAGAATCCTATACAAGTTCACAACAATAAAATACTCTGTTTTGCTTTGATCCAATCCTGTCTAACAATTGGTATCATAGCGGTCTAAATTGCGATTAGGGGTTGTGCGATCTACACTCGTAAAACAGAGCATTTCAATTTTCAACTTCCTCGACAATAGATCAAAAATCTTTGACCAGATTTCTTCCTTGCTTAGGAAAAAAACATCAAGTTGCTAGTTTTTTTCTTGGGCAGAAGTATTCCAACCAAAAGCACGGGAAAAACGAATCAGCGGGGTAGCTTTCGTTTAGCAGCTTGGAAGACGGAAAAGCAAGGGCTTGTTTTCTGGGTGATGGTCGATTGCAGGTGGCTTACGACTCGGGAAGGAATCGAAGTCTAAGAATTTTGTGGAAATTGTCAAAGGAATTAAAGTCGTGCAATGGAAGACAATCGAAACACACAGATTGTGACTACAAGAGAGAATAGTTCACTATCTTTTAAGGTTCCAGTTCTAACTGCTACAAACTACACTGTTTAGGCCGTGAAGATCAAAACGATTTTTAATGTTAATGGGATTTGGGAAGTGATCGAACCAGGAACAAAAATCGATCCAAAGAAGAACAATATGGCGATAGCATGTGAATAAATCGTGCTACAAGTTGCTCAGTTTACCTAATCTAAAGAAATTTGGGATGCTCTAAAGACTCGCTTTGTTGGTGTTGACAAGGTTAAAGAGGCGCGGTTATAGACACTCAAATCTGATTTTGAGTCTCTAAAGATGAAGAACAATGAGTCACTTGATGATTTTGCTGGTAAAATTAGTCAACTTGTAACACAAGCAAGCAACCTAGGGTCTGCGTTTGAAGACAAAAGATTGGTTTGAAAGCTTTCGGAAAGTTCATACAGATCGTTGCTGCAATTGAACAGTTTGCCGACATTAACACAATGCCGTTTCATGAAGCGGTTGGAAGATTGAAAGCATTTGAGGAACACATAAAAAAGCCAACTAAGGAAGGAGATACACATGGTAAACTACTATTGATTAAAGGTGATGGAAAAGAGAAGGTTAAGGAGGACAAATGTGAGCATTGTGGTTGCTTGAGCTCAAACCGAGAAGACTTTGGACGTGGCTGAGGTATAGGTCAGGGGTCGGTCAAGATGGTGGTCGGTTTCAGCGGGATAACAATCACATTAGGTGTTACAAGTGCAATGAGCTGGGGCGTCTTGTGAACGAATGTCCAAAATGGGATCAAAAGGAAGACATTGCAAATTTAGTTCTAGATGATGATGAACCAGCATTGCTGTGAAGATTGGTGTGAACAAACAACGATTAGGGGCGTGATTGTTAGATTTAATCGGGTTTGTTCACATATAACCGAATGGGTAATGACTCAATGTTTGGGTCAGTTAGTATGGTGTCGTTTAGTGTGTTTTACATATTTAATTAATAAAAAAACAGTTGGGTAGTTTCTAAAAGCAGTTATGGATAGTTTCTAATAATAGTAAGTGTGTTAGGTCTATAATAGGTATGTTGGTGTTTAAAAGTTGTGTTAGTTTGTTCTCTATATATATTCAAGAACACAAATAATCTTGTACAAGTTCACAACAATAAAATACTCTGTTTTGCTTTGATGAGTTTGATCCGATCTTGTCTAACAGGATCGGGTTCGGGTTGGGTGTACTTTGGGTAGGGGGACATTTGGCTAACACTTTTCGGCAAGGTTTTAAAAGGCGAAAACGAGCCTCAAGGCGGTTAGGCAAAATGCCTTGAGGCGTAAGCCTCGAGGCGGAACGAGGCGTAAGCCTCAGTTCAACTTGGAAAAAAAACCATAATAAAAACTCTTTCGGTACAAAAAAATAGAGGATCCATAATTATGTAAACTAAATCATAAAATCATACATAGGTTTTCATTTAAACAAAAAAAGGGTAAAATAAAAAGGAAATTAAATAATCCATATTCATGGTATTATTTTGAAATGGTATTATATAACACTAATATGTTTTAATTAAAGAAAACACAATACTTAAGTGTCACAAATCATTTAAAACTTAATTCCTAAAATAATAAAGTAGTAGGCGTAGTAAAAAAAAGTTCTAAACAAAAAAGTGAAGGAGAATGGAGTAAATACAAACAGAGTATATGGAGTACGGAGTATTAAAAAAGCTCAATAAAAAGGAAAAAAGTACCTGGGTAAAGA